CAGTTGCGACTATGAACGTGTACCTACTCTCTGTGCTAGAGTTTGGGGAGACCCTGGGGGTAGGTGTTTAGCTTGTGACACTGTAGACTGCCCACCTCCAGGAGTATCACTGACTTGGTTATCTGGTGATACAGGTTTTTTTCTATTCAGGAAGCCTGTAGATGTTGGAGTCTCTGAGGTTGGTACAGGATTGGTCCTCTCCCACACAGGGCTGCCTCTTTCTTAATGGAATAGCTTAGATTTATTTTCTGTTGCCAGATTCCCTGTGAGAGGTGATGAGCCTAAACTTACCTTCCCAGATGTGGTACTTCTTCATGATTAACTAAATCAAGTATTAGACCATGAATGCTCCTAGGCGGTTTTAATGGACAGCCCAGGCAGACTCCATACTGTAGGTACAATCGCTAGTTTATCCTGGACTACAGCTAGGGCTGGTTTTGTGTACATGCCATCTGTGCAGTTGCTTGGAGCTCTGTGCTTAGAAGGGCCCTGAATTTGGTTTAATGTTTTGCTGTTGGTGTCTTGAAATTCTTACTAATTTCAAAGCAAAGGCCTCTTATTTTCATTTTGCAGTGAGCAGCATAAATTATGTAGCCTGTACTGACTACAATAATGGTAACCATTTAGTTATCTTTCTGATTCTTAAGAATTCATAATTGAACTACTTCATGCAGACCTGGGAATAGACAAAATCAAAGCTTGACCCGGGAGGGGACAGTCCACTACTGGGACCCATCTCAGCCTAGCTGTTGCACTTGAACATCAGGCAGGGAAATAACCAGGCTGGTAGGCTTTGCCTCCAGAGTAATGGGAATAATGGGTGGAAAGGACATGAAGAAAATCTGACTGTTATGTATTATTTCTTGGGCCAATATAGAATTTCAGGGCTTCACTTCCCTCTTGGTAAAAGGTCAGGTGTTCTATGCTTAATACTTTTCCTGTATTTTATCCTGTACATCCCTAGCCATTAGCACAGGCTTAATAGGTACCAGTTTGTTAGAGGAGCTAACAGTGCCAATAGACCTTTTGCCTCAACAGCTTAGTCACCAAGTGCCCTAGTGCGCAGCTCATTTTCCTCTGCACATTTTCTTCTGCATGCTCTGAGAGGAAGTCAGACTTTCCTAGAGTCAGGAGTCTCCTACTTACTTCTTCCCCTGCTCCTTTATCACTTCCAATTTAAACAACAAGCCCTTTTTGTCAGCCCTGCTAATCACACCAAATTCATTATGCCAGGTCAAGATCAATGTTTGAAGATTGTTAAAAGGTACCCCTGGATTCAGCTTATATGGCTTTAATTTTTGTTTACTTCCAAATAGCAAAGAATTCCTACCAATGCTACATGAGATAAGAAGGCAGATGTGTGGATGCTGTTCTTCAGGTCCTTTCTAGTTCCTCCAGATGCTGAGTTATTATCATAAAAATTCCTGTTCAAAATGAAAAAATCACCCTTTGGAAGAACAAGAAAACTGTATGCTTGTAAACTCTGACTTAATGTCTACCTCATTCTATGACGGGAATTCATTCTGCACCATCTTACACCATTGTTACATGCTCTGTGTTCCATTTTGTTTACATCAGTAGGGCCTCTGGCAGACCTGGCTATGGTCTGCCATATAAAACTGCTCCTTTCAACCTACATTTTCTGTTTAAAAGATCTCATTAGTCAAAATGGTTGTGACCCTGAGAGATGAATGAAAATGTTATGTTTTGAAAATATTTAGTTTTGAGGCTGGGTGCAGTGGCTCATGCTGGTAATCTCAGCATTTAGTGAGGCTGAGGTTGGCGGATCAGAAGGTCAGGAGATCAAGACCATTCTGGCCTACACAGTGAAATGCTGTCTCTACTAAAAACACAAAAACTAGCTGGGCATGGTGGTGTGAGCCTGTAATCCCAGCTACTTGGGAGGCTGAGACAGGAGAATCGCTTGAACCCGGGAGGTGGAGGTTGCAGGAGAGTTGCTTGAACTCTGGGAGGCAGAGCTGAGATTGTGCCACTGCACTCCAGCCTGGTGACAGAGTGAGACTGTGTCTTAAAAAAGAAAAAAAAAATTTAGTTTTATCTAAAAACAAGGGCTATAGATAGTAGCTTCAGGAGTTCTTTCTTATAAGAAAACAAAAAGTATGCAGATAGGCATGGCTTTTTAAATGAAAAGAGATAGATATATGTTTATATTGAAATAAAATCAGGAAAAATTATAGTTTGATGGTGGTAATCGATTTTTTTTCCTATTATCCTCTACAGCCATGAATTGTAGTAAACATAACCTTGGCAATTACAGGGTATAGTTGGAAGCTTTGGAGGAATAGAATATCATCAATTTATACTTAATAGTACCAACACCATATTCATTTTTTTCCCCCAAATGTTTATTTGCCTCCCTTTACTTGTATTTTGACTACTCAAATAGATAATTTATATTTCTTGATGAAATGTGAAATATCATTTCAGAAAACTGTGGTATCAAATAACACACAACCAGGAATCAATATGAAAAAGAATTTTTGTTCATCACTATTTCTTACAAATAAAATAACAAATAAAATTATTAAATTTAAATCTTGACAGTTCTTTACATATCCATGGATGTTTTATTTAATCCACGTATCCTTTCAGATATTTAATATTATTTATATGGGTTTATGATCACACACGGGATGAATTTTGAGGTTCAGAAATACCTTTTACTTAACATGTTTTGTTTTTTAAAATTCTGTTCTAGGTCTACTTGTAGATTTTTCCCTCGTTAAGATTCAAATGGTGGTACTTAAAATAATGCTAACAATTACAACAGACCCAACCACAGGCAATACCAGGGTAGGGTAGAAATATTAACTCCAGAATGATGATTTTTATCAGAAATAGGAGTAGTATAATTTTTGTCTGGAGTAGGAGTAGTATAATTTTCATCAGGATTTGCCTGACGGATAAAGAAAGCTACTTGTGCAATATTGGAGACTTTTGATGTCAAGTTGCTTTTATGTATACTTTTAATGGCAATAAACATGTGGGTTGCATTTTCTTCTGAGATACTTCCTTGTTTAAATGCAAAGATTTCCTTGTAGTTGGCCTCCTTTGGTGACAGATCAGTAGTATTTACTTGAAGAGCATCATCAAAACTGTCTCTTAGATTAAGGATACTTCCACTTATTCTTATGATATAATGTTGAACTAAGAAAAAAGTTACAAGTAGTTTAGAGACTAGAGTAGAGCATATTTATTTCTATTTATTTATTCTCAAAAATGTCTAGTTATGCAAAGCATACACTCATATCAAAAGCCTTACTCATTTTTTAAAAAAAGCCAAATTATCATCTTAAGCCCTGCAACCTGCTACCTTCTCTGTATAAAAATGTGTCACTTGATTGAAAAATATCATATTATAAAATTAGTACTTTGTTAAGCTATCAATTTAAAACCATTCTCCCCTCACCCACTCTTACACCCTTGTTTTTGCGATTAGCACTTTTCACTTAAGTCAAAATCACATGACACTTCGTCCTTACCTTTTCCAACATCAAAATCATCTCCTGGTGCTGTCTATGTAAGAACAATCTCATCCTAAGGTGTGGCATCAAGGTCTGTGATTTGACTTGGGGGGTATCGGTCAGGCAAAGGAAGGCTTGGGACTTGTGATATCACAACTGCACCCCCAGACACTGTTCGGCTGAAATTCTCCAAGGTGGCCTGAGTATCCTCATTATTTTCAGGTCTTGGTGGGTTTGCTTCAATTTCCCCTGCATTACACATTTCCTGGATGGGCAAAACTGCTGGTATTTTTTAGAATTCATTAAATCACCTTCTCCACCCCACTTGTCTTTTCCTTTTTAAAAAATATATACAGTCACATTTTTACTAAGTTTTGTGACAATCATAAGCATCCAGTTGGTGAGAGAATCTTTGCTAGGATATTGTAGGACAGAATGAGATAATAAATTGCTTTAGAATTAAAGCTACACTGGATGAGAGTAATATTATATAATTCAATATGTGCCTTTTTAAAAAAAGGAACTGCTTTACCTTTTGAATTATCTGCTCTCTGGGAATATACCTGGAAAAATCATTGCCAGTTCTTCTCCACCCACTTGTGCTAGGACCCTCCCTCCATGCTGCAAGTGCTAAGAAATAATTCTTCTGATTGTATTCCAACTGCTAGTAGAAAGCCCCTAAAAGTGATAAGGTACCAGATAACAGAAAGCTAGCAAAGAATGCATTCTTAATTCTTATATCATTTTACTGTACATATTTTTTTTGACTTATTAAAATTCCAAATAAATGTTTACTCTTATAGCATACATAATCTGAAGGATAAATTCTGCACTGGCTTGTGCTTAGACTCATAAATTGGTCTGTTTCCTTCATCTTGAGCTGAAAATTGGGCATATTACTGTTGATATACATAAGATGTTCCAAACTCACATAACAACAACTGATGTTTTTGAATGAGATCATGTCTTTTGCAGGAACATGGATGGAGCTGGAGGGCATTATCCTCAGCAAACTAATGCAGGAACAAAAAACCAAAATACTGCATATTCTCATTTATAAGTGGAAGCTAGATGATGAGAATTCATGGACACAAAGCGGGTAACAACAGACACTGGGGCCTGCTTGAGGGCAGAGGTGGGGAGGGGGGAGAGGAGCAGAAAAAATAACTATTGGGTACTAGGTTTAGTACCTGGGTAATGAAATAATCTGTACAAGAAACCCCCATGAAACGAATTTATCTATATAACTCACCTGCACATGTACCCCCAAACCTAAATTGAAAGATTAAAAAATAGTAACTGACCTTTTTTGAGTGCTTGAGTGCTTACTAGGTGGCAGACATTGTACCAAAGCTTAGACTAATTTAGAGGCAAATCCTAGTCTGACTGAGAAATTTATTCCATCAGGAATAAAGTTTATTCCACTAGGGAAATAGGTTGTTTGAAGTCCTTCATTATATCAAATCACAATATTATTCAAACTATCACTGGACTATAAATATCATGAATACTCACCGTTTACTACCCAGCCTGGTATGTATGCAGCTCTACTCAGTGGATCCCGTAAGTTTAGCCTGGCAGTGTTTGTTACTCCATGAGCCCGTACTTTTAAGCTGTATCTGCCATTTTCTGTATATGCTGTAAAATATCTGGAGTAGACCCCATCATTCTTGAAAGAATCAGCGCCTTGTTATAGAAATGAAGGAATAAAGTATTGTAAAGAGAAATGTATGCATTTTCTAAGACAAGCAATCGGCCTCTATAAGCATATTCTCTAGATTAGGCTCAATATTTTGAGGTTGATCCTTTGGAAAATATTTCCATTATATTCTGCCAAAACAATATATTGTTGAATCAATACCTTTGAGCTATTTTGATATCTATTATATCTATATAACACACATACACACATTGATATTTATGTATGCATAATAAATGACTAAATACGTCACCTTTCTGTCCTTATTCACATACAGAATATTTCACACAGTATTCTTATAATTTCTCCACCACTTGTTTTGTTTTCAGCTTGCTTTCTCTCAACACATTAATTATGTCATCTCTCTGTTTAAATCAAAAGGGTCTCTACTAAGGAAAAATCCTATCTTTGTGAAGGATTTAATTCTCTTAACAGTCAACTAAAATTACTAAATTTGGATATTTTTAGATATATAAATTTCCCAGACTTCCTAGGGAAAGGTCCAGGCATTCTGTGTTCTTACAAGCCCTCCAGATGACTCCTTTGCACATTGAAGTTTGCCTGCAGAATAAAGACATTTGAAGACTAAAGAATGTCTGCTCTATGTCATTGTTAATCACCAATACCATCTGAGGTAAAGGCATTCCAAATTAGCAAATCTCCCCAATTAGCTAAATGGACATCTAGCAAAATGTTGAAAAGGGAAATATGGTGCATTTAAGTTTTAATGTAGTATAGATTTGCAGAAAGGGGAAAAAGAGGCAAGGGATAGTTACGGAAATATTGGTTAATCTGAAGAAGACATTGAGGTACACAGAACAAAAATTTTACCTTCTCGGTTTTTCTCAGGGGAAACCCAATAAAGATATGATTATAACATGATTGAATAAGTTACATTGCGAAATATACTGATATCAAACTCGGGTGCCTATCAATACAGTTATTTCCTTGCTCATAAACCTCTTAACAGAAGGTTCCATTCCTAGAACAATACAGAATCTAGGGAGAGGGTTTTTAGGCATCACTTCATATGTAAAGACCAGGGAGACAGAGTATGGTCAACACTGTATCTTGATTTCTACCAACCAGCCTGGTATCTGATGCCCCAGTGATGAATCTTCCTGTGGCAGTGCTAGCTGTCCTGGGCCCCAGTCCTCAGGACTATATTTATATGTTGCTCCAGTTGTTTAGAATTACTTCTGCTTTCTTTCTCTGCCAGGGACTCAAGTTCTATCACTTAATCACATCTAGTTTGCTTGTGTTTCACTCTCTCTAGCCAGGATTTCTTGATGCTGTCCTCAGCCTCCTGAATGAGACCTTCCTAACTGGTGACAGATGTTGGCTGCTTGGATGACAAACAATAATGATAACAAAAAATAACATGTATGGCCAAACATGGTGGCTCATTCTTGTAATCCCAGCAATTTGGGAGGCTAGGGTGGGAGGTTGGCTTAAGCCCAGGAGTTTGAAAACAGCTGGGGCAATATAGTGTGATCTTTTCTCTTTTGTAGACCTTTTTTTGTGGAGACCTTTTCTCTACAAAAAATTTAAAAAATTAGCTGTGCATAGTGGCGCACACCTGTATCCCAGCTACTTGGGATGCTGAGGTGGAAGGATTGCTTGAGCCTGGGAGGCAGAGGGTGTAGTGAGCTGAGATGGCACTACTGAACTCCATCCAGCCTGTGTGACAGAGCGAGATCTTGTCTCAAAACACAAACAAAAAAACCCCTCAAAAACCAAAAACTTTTACATTTTTATTTACTGATTTATTTTTTGGGTATCTTTGTTTTTGCTGATATGGAGTCTCTATCTGTCACCCAGGCTGGAATGTAGTGGTATGATCTTGGCTCACTGCAATCTCCACCTCTCCAATTCAAGCAATCCTCCAGCCTCAGCCTCCCAAGTAGCTGGGATTACAAGTGTATGCCACCACACCTGGCTAATTTTTTGTATTTCTAGTAGAAATTGGTTTTAACCATGTTTTCCAGGCTAGTCTTGGAACTCCTGACCTCAAGTGATCTGCCCACCTAGACCTCTCAAAATACTAGGATTACATACGTGAACCACTGTGCCCAGCCCAAAGACATTGATTGAGTGCTTACCACATGCAAGACATTTGCTAAGCACTGTGTAATTTTACCTAGATCAAATTTCCTGCTGGTCCTGCTATTCGTCCTTAATCTGCATCAATTCTGTTGCCTGTTTTACTGCCCCACAATGCCATAGGCACTCATGACATGTTGAGTTAGGGAAAAAAAAAATATTGACTTACTTATAAAAACCTGTGAATTACCTGCAACATTACCCAAAAGTTCCACAACTTCCGTATTTCCACTCTGTGATTCAATGAAAGGAGTCACATTGGCTCCAAGAACAGGTACATATCCTTGTAGAATTTCTGCATAAACAATCATTGGGCTGGGGAAACTGTTTATGTCCTTATTCATTTTAGCATTCACTGTGATTGGAGGCACAGAAGAATTTGCTGCTCGAGAAGTTACTGTAATAGTTAATATTTCTGGGTTTGCTTTGGCTTGAATATTATATGCCCAAGTGCCCACCTAGAAATCTCAATGGAAATATAGTAAGTATCCAAAGTCAAGCTACTTTCTATGTTTCCATTATGTAATTCTAAAATAAATTATGTAAGTGGAAAGTAGAATAAAGGAGTTTTTAAGGATGTTGAGCCTAAATGGGTAAGAGCTGAGGCATTTAGCCAGGGCATGCCAACTGGTATCTTCTTGATGTGTATACTTTGCTACATCTCAATTGGAAAAAATAAATTTTAGAAGGTTAGCCTTGATTTTGGCCTTAGAGTTCACAGATTCATCAATCCTGGTAGAGCTAATAAGGAAGGACCCTATAGCTCTTTACCCACCAAGTTGTATAGACTTTTCCTACATTTCCTTCTTAAAGTTATTTTTAGACTATCTTGACTACCTTTTCTTCGTTTTTTTTTTTTTGAGACAGAGTCCTTGGTCTGTTGCCCAGGCTGCAGTGCAATGGCATGATCTCGGCTCACTGTAAGCTCCACCTCCCGGGTTCAAGCAATTCTCTGCCTCAGCCTCCCGAGTAGCTGAGATTGCAGGCATCTGCCACCATGCCTGGGTAATTTTTTATTTTTGGTAGAGATGGGGTTTCACCATCTTGGTCAGTCTGGTCATGAACTCCTGACCTCATGATTTGCCTGCCTTGGCCTCCCAAAGTGTTGGGATTACAGGCATGAGCCACAGCTCCTGACCTCTTCCTTGTTCTTGATTCATAAGTTCTTTTTTCTTTTTTCCCACCATCATAATTTTAAGGACATAGGCATAGAAAGTACATACTATTTTATCTTAATTTTGAAGTTGAAACAATCTTTGGCACCCACATTTATGACATTAAACAATTTATGTTCAGATTTTAAAAAATGTTGTCAGGAAGTCTAAAAGCTGATTGCTTACCTTTGCAGTTCCTGGAATACTGAGATAGGCTATTTTGGAAGCTGCATCCACTGTGAAATTTCCCATTATCATTCCACTGGGATCCCAGAGAGAAATACTGGGAGGCAGGCTGTCCCATGTGATGAGAAAGAATGTGTCCTTTCCCACTGTGCTATCAATTATGACAGTGTCATTCATCCAGGCATTACTGTTCAGTGTTAATCCCTTACTTTCCAGCTGTTTAAATAGATTTCAAAATTAATGACTTCAGAAGACGGTAATTTTATTCTTTTTTCAAGATGGTTCTTAATTTCTGGCCTGAGAACAAGCTTATAAATGGCAAAGCACCTTACACTTGTGATCTCTCTGCAAGTTGGTTATGATATGACAGTTATCAATTAAAAAGTGAGAAAGTAAAAGACTTAGAGCAGAAGCATGGGTTTTGCAGTTGTGAATATGACCTTATTGTTTTTTTCCGGTTGTCTTGGCAAGCATTCGTGGATATTTTCCTGATGTGAAATTTTGAAATAATTTTTTCACACAGATAGAGGGAGTAGCACTGGACTGATAGTTAAAGGTTGGACTCCTGAGAAGAGAGGAAATTGAAAATAGAATCCTTCTCTGAGAGGAACTTTAGAGAAAGTTGTCCAACTTTTTGTTGATAGCTCTTAGTCCAGGAGAGCCAACCATGTTTCTTTAGTTACTTATTTTTTAAACTGACAAAGAAATATGCATATATTGTGGAATGGCTAAATCAAGTGGATTCACATATGCATTGCCTCACATATTAATTATTTTTGTGTGTGTGATAAGAACGCATAAAAAATCCACTTAATGATTTTCAAGTATACAATACATTGTTGTTAACTACAGTTGCTACATTTTATAACAGGTTTCTTGGTATTTCTACCATTCCTTTACAACAAAAAGAACAGAAAATAGTATCTTCAGAATCAGTTCTCTCTCCTTACTTGTCAATTTCAGTCACCATAATCATCATTTTCTCAGTCAACCAGTGTGGCCACCTCAGAAATGACCTTTATTATCCTTCAGTTTGTTCTCTGCACACTACAAGGCTAGCTCTCACACCAGTTTTTAACTTGTTTGCAGGGTATATCTGCAGACCAGATGTCCAAATCAGTCTGCACATCCTCTAAGCTCACATCCTGTAACTTCTGTTCTTTTCAGTGTTGAGACCACTGTTGAGATCATGATAAGTTTTAATATAGGCAATGAGCCGATGAACTAGAAAACACATGATAGAAATCTTGGCATAAAGTGACAATGACATAGACTTGTAGGCGTGAAGAGAAGAGAAACATTTTTGCCAAACATATTTTGAGGGAAACAGGCTATGTTCACATGGGACATGAAGAAGGAAGAATCAAAGTTTACTCAATGTTTTTGAATCTAAGTAATAGAAAATGCTATCAAGACTGAGATGAACAAAAGTCTTAAGTTCAAAAGAGAGGTGAATAAAACAAAAAGCGACAGAAAAAAAGTAGTTGAGGAGGTGACAGAAGACCTATGTTTGTAGATATACAATGATTATTCACTCCTTCTTTCTTCTGCTTAATTTATTTCCGAGACACTTCCTCCATTTCCCAACTAGGTTCTTGAGTTCATGTGTCTAAATCTACTTCATAGAAGTTAAGCATAGGGAAAGCTTGGAAGCCTAAACTTTTAAAATGCATTCACTGAAAAACGGGTGCTTTATTTCAGAAAAGGTCCATTTTTGGTGAATAATTTGACATTATTAGGTTGTAATGTCATTTCTTAACCAAAGAAAACGTTTAGATTTTAATTAAAAATTTATTTTGAGAAAAATATGGATCTCAAAACTTATAACTAATAAATTGTTTTTTTCTTTGTTATGGCAGAAGTGAACGTGAAAAGCAAAGGAATGGGAACTCTGACCTGAAGGGACTTCTGGAGATATCAGCATTTCCTGATGTAAGGGCCCCAAAAGCATCAATGAGGTCATTGTTCTGGGCTTCATCTGAAGCATAAAAATGACTTCCTCCTAAAACGTAAATGGATTAATTAGACTGCTTTCTAGAAAATAAGTACATATATTTTAGTGATTATTAAGGTAACAGTTAAAACAAAAATCATAGTTTCAGTATGTGTTATTAAAATAGACCAAAGGCACATAGTTGTGCAGATTAAATCTGAAATGCTAATTTTAAAATGTCAGAACTAGGGAATGAAAGCTACCATGATACCTCATTATCGAAATCTTAGGTAGCTAAAATGCATGATAATTATAGAATATGAAAGATGTTACAATTCCAGGTATTAAAGCTGACAAACTTTACACACAGCCCTTTTAGAGAATCTTTTATTTCCAACAAAGTTGACTTTCAGATATTTCAGTCAGTGTAGATTTGTGAAATCTTTTCTTAAAAAATTTGTTAATCTTTTATTTTAGTTCTAACAAAGTTGACTTTCAGACATTTCAGCCAGCATAGATTAAAATCAGAAAATTAGAAAGATTAAAGAGCTGCTACATTTAGGTATTGTCACACTAACTGGCAATAAGCAGATAGAAAAATGGAAAGCAAGAGAGATAAATCGAAAAAAGTACTACTTTTTAAGGTACGACTTGGAATAGAAATATATTTTACAATGACCATGAAAGCACTTTAAAATGATGTGATTTTGTATAAGCATTAAAAAGCAAGCATATATTTAGTACCATTAAAAGCCAATTCAACATAATTTATATCATGTCATAAATTATATATTCTCTATGCTTATGAAGGTATTAGAAACACGTAATCCATTTTCATCACATGTCTGTGTGTCTAAACTAACAGTTACTATAGTTAATGTTTATATAAAAACTTCATTGTTATATAGATCTTTTCAGCCTGAGCTTCTGTTAATCACATACACCCGCCCCATAACTTATGCTCTGGTCTCATGGATTTTCACCCTTCCTGCCACATGTCTTGCATTGTTACCCTACCGTGATGTTTTTTGCCATTGACCTGATCATCTTTTCTTACCATTTCTTCTACCCAGAGGAATTCAACACCTTGTTCAAAGCCCAGCTCAGAATTTAGCTAGTTTGTCATGCTTCCTTTCCCTGTATGTATACAACTCTAATGAATTTAATGGCTTCCTCTGCTCACATAGAACTTTATTCTTCTATATTCCTCTGTTATGAAGGAATGTTATCTGAGTATGTTATTTCATTAACAGTTTTTTTACTCCAAGTGCTGTGAGAACAGATTGGGTCTGGTCCCCAGCTTTAGTGCCTCCAGGGCAGAAACTCAAGAGAAGTTGTTGAATTCTGAGCCTTTACATTTACGCATTGCTATTGAAGGCCTGGAATAAATGAACTATGTTTTACCTGTTACATTGCTCATCGCTATTACTGCTTCATCAGCATCTTTTCCCAAAGTGATAAAATGAACAATGGACCCACTTTGTTTTACTTCATCAGTACAAGAATTTGCAGTGTTATCCTCCCCATTAGTCAGCAGCACTATTTCAGATCCATCAAATTGGGAGTATAGGTCTCCAATCACCTGTAAACGTAATTCAGAGCACAGTTATCAACAGGCATTCCCAGATCAAATAGATCAATGGGAAATAAGAAAAAAATTAGAGAAAATAAACACAAGGTATGCAGAATAAAAGAGATGGCCTGTATTTTAAAATAAGAATTTTCAAGAAACAATTTTTTGGGGGAAGTTAAACATTAATTTCTTTCTTTTTTTTTTTTTTGAGACGGAGTTTCGCTCTTGTTACTCGGGCTGGAGTGCAATGGCGCGATCTCGGCTCACCGCAACCTCCGCCTCCTGGGTCCAGGCAATTCTCCCATCTCAGCCTCCTGAGTAGCTGGGATTACAGGCATGCGCCACCATGCCCAGCTAATTTTTTCTATTTTTAGTAGAGACGGGGTTTCACCATGTTGACCAGGATGGTCTCGATCTCTTGACCTTGTGATCCGCCGGCCTCAGCCTCCCAAAGTGCTGGGATTACAGGCTTGAGCCATAATTTCTTTTTTTTTAACTACCAGAAGCAGGGGAATTTATTTAAATGAATTAGGTGGGACCAGGCTTTGAAAAATCCTTTCTAGACTAAATTATGATAACATGTCAAGCTGGGAAACTCAGGTCAACCAGATACCGAAGGTATAGTCATAGTATATGACATTAAACAGTGTTCTGTTTTCTTTGACTGGACTACCCTCTGACAGATAAGCCTTCAGTTTATAAAGTCTGTTGCACTGACAGCTAGATGCCTTAAGAATCCACTTCAACATTTTCAAAGTCAGTGATTACAAATTAGTAAAGCCTTACTATGCTTATAAAGAAAAAATATGGAAAGTTCTAAGCATATGGTTAAGGACCTTGTTATGCAACTTTGATTTACTTCTAATAATAACTGGCACAGAACTAAGCATATTGGTGATGCTCAAATAATACATGAAAATTATATTTGTAGCTTGAATCCTTTTCCTAAATGCCTTCAGTTTGAAACTCAAAGTTTTGAATCTAGGTGCCTGTAAAAGAGGATAAAGAGAACTTAGCCCAGGATAACAAGTATATTTCATTTTCTTTGACACTTTTAATTGGTAGTGGCATCTTGGAGCACCATTTTGAGACACTGAGTGCAGGCCAAGAGGCAACAAATGACAAATTATTGGTGGCTTTCTTTGGCATGGAGTGGAGGTGTTAATGGAGATGTGCAGAAGAGGGTTTGGAATGTAGAAAGCTGGATCAGGGAATAAATTGACTACCCTTATGACAATTTTTGCAAAGAATGAATAATACATATATTGCAATATATGGGAAATATTCTCTGACATGCACTGAAACCAAACAAAAAGATAGGAAAATGCTTTTATACATGTAGGGCATTTGTAGCATCTCCATCACACTTCTCTCATGCATTTAAGTACAAAATGAAGATCCAAAGATGAAGCAGAGTTCTTTCATCTCTCCTTTTCTTGCATGTGTTTATTTAGCAAGCATTTACAATGTGTCAGTCACTGTTCTGGGGATTCAGTAGGAACTACATTTCTATATTAATAAATAACTGGGTTCAATTTAACAGTGTTTATGGAGCTTTGTGACAGAGACTGAGAAGATCCACAGATGAGTAACAAAGACAAAACTAATATGTATTTACCACAGAATGTTCTATAGTTCAAGAGAAATAACAATGTAGTGTTGTTTACTGAATACTTGCTATGTGTTAACTGTGTTTTATACATTGTATAATTTAATCCAAATCCAAGCTCCCAAAGTGTCTTCCTATTACACTGTTACTGCCTACAATTTGTTTTATACAGGGCAATTGGAATCATCTTCCTGGGACATAAATAGATTATCAAACTCTGACACTTTAAACCATTCAGGAGCTTTCTGTTGTTCTTGAAACAAAACACAAGCCTCATATTTTTTGAAGTTTTGAAAGAGCTAGTCATCGTGTACTTCTCCAACCACGTTTCACACCCCCTCATTTGCTAAACTCCAGTGCCACTAGCTTCTATCATTTCTTAAAATAATCTAGTTTTTTCTCACCTTTTTCCTAAGGCACTTTTGCACTTTCCTTTCTAACTGGACCACTGCCTTCTTCTCATCCTTCAAATCAGAGCTTAAATGTTACTTTTTAGTGAAGACCTCATTGGCCTCTCTAACCAAAGTAATTCTCCTTTCCCTGTTATTCTGTCACATCTTCCTGTTTGGTTTATTCACAACACTATGTAATCTGCAGTTCTTGTTTTTATCTATCTATTTATTTTCTGTTCCCTACTTATATAAATATACCACAAGAGTGAAAAGGCTTTGCTTGGTGAATAAATTAAAACACATTTATATTTTGAATAAATTAAAACACGAGCAACCCTATGTGCCAGCTTTAATTATCCTATTCTACTGATGAGGTAATTGAAGACTAAGAGAGGATAAGAATCATGTTTAGGGCCACAAAGCTAATAAGTGGTAATTGTGATTTGAATGCAGGACTTCGTGTTACAAACCTAAACTAAAATGTTATGCAATTCATGGAAGAGAGATTCAATTGGGTAGGGAGTAAAAGGGAAGCTACATGAAGGAGAAAGGATTTTGGAGGCTTGGTAGAATTTTAACATGCAGACAGGCGTTGGGGAGGGGAAGGAAGCAATTTTTTTTTTTTTTGAGACAGAGTTTTGCTCTTGTTACCCAGGCTGGAGTGCAATGGTGCGATCTCGGCTCACCGCAACCTCCGCCTCCTGGGTTCAGGCAATTCTCATGCCTCAGCCTCCTGAGTAGCTGGGATTACAGGCACGCGCCACCATGCCCAGCTAATTTTTTTGTATTTTTAGTAGAGACGGGGTTTCACCATGTTGACCAGGATGGTCTCCATCTCTTGACCTCGTGATCCACCCGCCTCAGCCTCCCAAAGTGCTGGTATTACAGGCTTGAGCCACTGCGCCTGGCCTGGAAGGAAGCATTTTAAATACAGGAATTTGCATGTGCAAAGGTTTGGAGGCTGTTAAGTAAATAGTGGACTTGGAGAACACTGTGTGTAGTAAGTTGGTTGGAGGATAAAACAGAGAGGGGAGAACTGAGAAATAAGGCAGTAAAGGTACCTGAAAGCAATTTTACTGCATTGGGGAGACTTTTTAGTAATGTCAGACTGAGAAATTGAGACAATTTTGTAGACTGTGAAGCGACAGTGAAGACTTCTTTTTTTTTTATTGCATTTTAGGTTTTGGGGTACATGTGAAGAACATGCAAGATTGTTGCATAGGTACACATATGGCAGTGTGATATGCTGCCTTCCCCCCCATCACCTATATCTGGCATTTATCCCCATGCTATCTCTCCCCAACTCCCCACCCCATCTCTCCCCAACTCCCCACCCCCTGCTGTCCTTCCCCTATTTCCCCCCTGACAGACCCCAGTGTGTGATGCTCCCTCCCCTGTGTCTATGTGTTCTCACTGTTCAACACCCACTTATGAGTGAGAACATGCAGTGTTTCATTTTCTGTTCTTGTGTCAGTTTGCTGAGAATGATGGTTTCCAGGTTCATCCATGTCCCTAGAAAGGACACAAACTCACTGTTTTTTATGGCTGCATAGTATTCCATGGTGTATATGTGCCACATTTTCCCTGTCCAGTCTATCATCAATGGGCATTTGGGTTGGTTCCAGGTCTTTGCTATTGTAAACTGTGCTGCAGCGAACATTCATGTGCATGTGTCCTTATAGTAGAATGATTTACAATCCTTTGGATATATACCCAGTAATGGGATTGCTGGGTCAAATGGAATTTCTATTTCTAGGTCCTTGAGGAATCACCACACTGTCTTCCCCAATGGTTGAACTAATTTACACTCCCACTAACAGTGTAAAAGTGTTCCTATTTCTCCACATCCTCTCCAGCATCTTTTTAATGATCATCATTTTAACTGGCGTGAGATGGTATCTCAATGTAGTTTTGTTTTGCATTTCTCTAATGACCAGTGATGATGAGCATTTTTTCATGTTTTTTGGCCTCCCATAAGTCTTCTTTTGAAAAGTGTCTGTTCATATCCTTTGCCCACTTTTGAATGGGCTTATATATTTTTTTTTTTTTGTAAATCTGTTTTAGTTCTTTGTCGATTCTGGATATTGGCCCTTTGTCAGATGGGTAGATCGCAAAAATTTTTTCCCATTCTGTTGGTTACTGATTCACTCTAATGACTGTTTCTTTTGCTGTGTAGAAGCTGTGGAGTTTGATTCGGGCCCATTTGTCTATTTTGGCTTTTGTTGCCAATGCTTTTGGTGTTTTGGTCATGAAGTCCTTGCCTATGCCCATGTCTGAATGGTTTTGCCTACGTTTTCTTCTAGGGTTTTTATGGTGTTAGGTCTTATGTTTAAGTCTTTAATCCATCTGGAGTTAAATTTAGTGTAAGGTGTCAGGAAGGGGTCCAGTTTCTACTTTCTGCACATGGCTAGCCAGTTTTCCCAACACCATTTATTAAAGATGGAGTTCTTTCCCCATGCTTGTTTTTGCCAGGTTTGTCAAACATCAGATGGTTGTAGATGTGTGGTGCTTCTTCTGGGGCTTCTGTTCTGTTCCATAGGTCTGTGTCTCTCTTTTGGTACCAGTACCATGCTTGTTTGATTACTGTAGCCTTGTAGTATAGTTTGAAGTCTGGTAGTGTGATGCCTCCCGCTTTGTTCTTTTTTGCTTAGAATTGAGTTGGCTATTTAGGCTCTCTTTTGGTTCCATATGAAGTTTAAGGTGTTTTTTTTTCCAGTTCTGTGAAGAAGGTCATTGGTAGCTTGATGGGGATAGCATTGAATCTGTATGTTACTTTGGGCAGTATGGCCATTTTCACAATATTGATTCTTCCTAACCATGAACATGGAATGTTTCTCCATCTGTTTGTGTCCTCTCTGACTTCGTTTAGCAGTGGTTTGTAGTTCTCCTTGAAGAGGTCCTTTACATTCCTTGTTAGTTGTATTCCTAGGTATTTTATTCTCTTTGTAGCAACTGTGAATGGCAGTTCGATCTGTGTGATTTTCCATGTGGTGATCCACTGCTCTGGCTGACACAGCTGCGCTGAGATTCTTGGTGCTTTTTTGCCTGGGAATCTCCTGGCCTGAGTCCCTGTTTTAGTCTCCTTTTTTATCAGTTAAATGGGCAATTCTGTCTCCCAGGAGCTCCAATCCCCAGCTAAAACAGCACCCGAATCCATCTATTTTGTGCGGAGAACCGCCGCGCCAAAACAGCCGGGCTGGCCAAAACAGGTGTGCCAGCCAAGACAGCCATGCTGGCGACCCATGGGGCTCTTCCACCTGGGAATCTCCTGGTCAGTGGGCAATAAAAATATTTCTGGAAACGCAGCATCCACTTACCCTCTGCACTTTTGCTGGGAGCTGCAATCTTGAGCTACTCCTAATCGGCCATCTTGGATCCGTCCCTTTAGACAGTGAAGATATCTTAACAGTAAAATGTCATAATTGATATTAGTTGTGGGTTCAAGATGACCATTTGGCTAAAAATAATGTTCATGATAATTATACATATATTTAATTATTATAAATAATTATATACTTATGATAAATTATATATTTATTACATATAATATTTGAACTATATATTTACTATATAATATAGTAAATATTGTTCTAAGTATGTAAATGTATCATTTCACATAATACTTATAATTATTCTATGAGGTAGGCATTCCTATTTCTTATATTGTATAGATAAGGCACTGAGAGTCCAAAGACACTGAAATGTTAGCCTAAGATCATAGTTACTAAGTAGCACATCCAGTACTCTGATGTCAAAGTTTATGCTCTAACTCATATGTCTTACCCTAAATATGACTCACAGTCTTGCTACATCAGCTTTAAGAGGTACAATAAATAGTTTGCCCTAGCGGAATGTTACAGAAGCTCAAATGAGAACCAGTTTAAAGTGTAATCATACCATGTCATCTGTGGCACTGCCCCAAATTGATGGCTTTTGCATCTAAGCACACTTATTTAACTAACATTTATCAAGCACTGACTACTGCATGGTAACAAGACAGCAAAGTCCCTGACTTCCTTGGCTTGTAAGTGAGTGGCAAATTTATAGTTGCTTATTCACCCATGGGTTGTTCATTGATTGACTGATCCATTAAAACATCCAAGAGAATTTTTTTCTATATGCTTAGTCCTGTGCTTCTTAGGATTACTTATGTTAAAATTAGGCAGCAAGCATGTGTAGCAGCACTTAACATGACAATATCCTGAAAAGAAACAAAAACCAAAATATATTTGCAGTAAGATTTTCACCTGCAATGCCGATTTAATTCCAGAGCAGATGGAAGTTCCTCCCTGAGCATATGTAGGTAACTTTTCCAGAGTGTATTTCTTTCATTGCTGCTTATTATTTGGATTAGCTTATTTAGAATAGTGGCAGTACTATCAAAGTGAACCATCCCCACCCAGGAACCATTTCAACAGTCTGCAGCAGGAATTGTTTTGCTGCTTGATTCATTCGTTTCAGGCGGTTATAACCCTAGATCAAAAAGACAAGAAAAACAAGCAAGTGATTTTTGACTGGAAAATAATAGAAGATCACATAAAACGAATGAACAGAATTTATTGATAAAATTTTCTGTGAATAGTAGTTGATGTTGTTAAATAATTGATAAAATCAAAAAAAGGTGGTGTGTATTATTGGACACATTTTGCATAGTAAGGAGCACAGGCTTTTATTTACAGCTGATTCTTAACTGTTAAGTACCCAAGTTAGAGGTGGAAGCTAGGGTGGGGTTTGAGTTGAAACTGGGGTTAGGATACATATTTTAGAGACTCTCTAATTACTCCTGGGAGCTTCTGTGCCTTTTGTCTTCAGATAAAACCATGCTCCCAAGCCTATAAATCAAACCAGACAATTGTAGACTTCAACCAGAGACTGGAATCATTCCATCCATGGGAAAGTAGACTGCTCAAAAGGTAAAACTTAACCCAACCTTCACTTTAAATTGAGAGAGGCCAAGTGCCTATCTTCCCACTTTCTCTTTCTGTTCCTAACCTCTTGCTGTCCCCTTTCCACCAATGGGTTTATTGAAATTGGCTCTCTGATAACCCTCAGGACCCAGCCCTCTTTCAAAAGTGATTGTCTAGGGTGTAAGCTTCTTCACGTGTTTGTCTTCTCCAGTCCTTATCACCATATTGATCTGTTACTCCTCACCAACTTATGCCTACATTTCCTTCTGAAATCCCTGAACCAAATGACAATGAAAAACTTCTATATCTTCATTTTACATGCTCCCTCCACTACCTGAATTATAGTGGCTCAATTCCTTCAGCTTTCTCATTCTCTGCCCTTTTTAATACCTCCCCCCACTGGTCTCTTGCTTAGACATCTCTCCTGCTGGTCTTTTGGTGGCCAATATGCTATAGGGACCTGGATAAGAGACCTTGTGAGATAATTTACTCTGAGTATCACTTTAGTTTGAAGTTCTTGTAGATTTCTTTCCAAAGAAGATACTCCCAAAAGAATGGTACATGGCATAGACACAAGTGTTTTGATGACTTAAGGAGCATTTTTATCCAAAGTGAAATGTGACTGGAAGCGAAGATTAGGTGCTGCCAAGAAAGACGGTAGAATAAAAAGTGATGGAGACAGTTTAGACATATGTTTTATATATGTAATTGGTCACAGGTAGCAATGATTGCAACAAATATGCTGGGATGTGAACATATTTTGTCTTTTCAATAGGTTTTCAGTTCAAATTCAGGAAACGATGAATAGTTCTTCTTCAGTTATTTAGGGAGTTTCATAAATATGTCCATGCTTCTATTGCCCCCAAACTAGGTGGACATGATGAAGCTATCTATGTGGGAAATCTTGATGAATATTCTGCAGCAGTAGTTAGACATCCAAAGGGAGTATGATATAAACAAATGCAATAAATGTAATACTCTCTAAAATATGTGCCTGAAAATTGGTGCAACGGGGCAGAGGAAGGACCTTGATTGAAATCATATACCTTTCAATTCACACAATAGTGTCAAGTCTCATTGTCTCATTTCAAGCGATTCCTGTTTCCATTTCTAATAACATTTCTCTCTTCCCCCTCCTCTCACCACGTGTCTGTGTGTACTTTTAATATGTGCTATGGCAGCCTCCAGCCATACTGCATTGCTTGACTGGTTGATCTAAATGATCTATTGTGATTGTTGGTGTTGGTAACGTGATTATTACAAAACTGCATAGATTCTGAGAACTCTCTTAGTAATCTTATTTATCCAAAAATTGTTTTCTAGGACACAGTTTGTAGAATATGAGGTTTTTCTTTCACAAATGCATATATCACATTATGCATTTGTGAAAAAGAAGAAAGATCTGTCTAAGAAGAAGGGGTGACCTGTCAGTAAAAGAATAGGGTTGAGGTGTGGGATAATGGGAAAAATCAAGAACTGATATGGGGACATGGATCTTATAGGCTGGAGAAGCCTTTCACTTCTAAGAAAGGTATAGGTAGTAATGAGTTTGGAAATAGGAAGAATATAGAGACCTTTGTTTTATCAATCAGGGCACTAATGGTGAGACTGAGAAGAGTGGCTGGAGATCTTGGGAAAAATGGTAGAAGTTTTAGATCAGCTGCTACAGGAATTGAGAAAGAGAGTTGAGAAGAGCTGAGTAAAAATGTAGAGTAGCTTTGAGCACTTCATTGAGCTTGGAAAATGTGTCTTTATAATTATATCAATTACTTTTATAATTTTCTTCAACATTCTTGAAAACATAACAGGAGCCAAAAATAAACTAGATAGATAATTCAGAAGATTTAGTAAGCTGAATGAAACATAAGAATAAAAGTGGTAAGAGAATTGAACTATTTATACTTGTAGTTGAAATGACTGACTTTGCAGGACATGCCAGGTAGAAAGTAAGTATAACTAAAAAGATAAAAAGGATTAGAGGTGCCAAGGAAAATAAACATGATCCGGATAATGTATGGGGAAGAGGTAAGATTGGGACATGAGGAAATTATGGAGTTTTCAAGACTGGAGAGGGGGACTGGTCCAGGTAATGAATAGGACCAGATTTAGTTGAATGTTTGGCAGAGACAAGAGACTTAATAATAAGTGTTCAATGAACAGGAATAGAAGAGAGTGATATTGGGGTATAGGGATTCAGGAAGGTTCCCACTGAACAGTGACACGTGTAGAGCCCTCCTTTAACAATAATTTACATTTTTGTCTGTGAAATGCACTTTAGTTTGTTTTGACAAAATTATTTTAACATTTAGATTGAACTAGATGACACTGCCATTTTTATAGGTCAAAATGATCAATTACAGACAATGCCATCTGTTTCAATGAAACAGGCTGATATCAGCAACTGATAGCCTAAGTGTGTTTTCTTGACCAGTAACTGGCACCATGACTTTCCAGCTTACTATACATCTGGCTTTCATGTAGCTTACTTCTGATTTGTTAATATCCAGCTATGGAGAACTGGAAAAATTAAAATCTAAAAAGCATGCCTTAAGAAAAACATTTATAATTGCTTTTCTCTGTTTATATTTTTGTAGACACTGTACTGAGTACATTTAACTGGATTCTCTAGTTTAATGTAGAAGAAATATTTTATAAGGTAGAAACTTTTCTCTTTGCCATTTTGTAGGGAATAATCACAGAGGCAGTAGGTCACTTGTTTAAGGTCACACATAGCTAGTAAGTAGGGGAGCCAGGATTCGATTCTAAGGACTTTGACCCCATGGCTTGCACACTTAACCTGCATGGAAGGTTGCACGCGCAATCATTACAAAATTGTTTTTTAAACATAATTTCTACCTGATGGTCCATATTCATTCTGTTTTTTTCCAAGTAGAAAGTAAGGGGTGAAATGAATATGTTTGCCTTTCTCTCCACATTTTGTGAACTGCTTGGTGTATGGTTCATCTCTACCTGGGAGTATAGGTGGTGCAACTATAACATCAGCCTGAGAATGTTGAAAAAGATTGTTAAACATCAGAAATAAAAAGATAATATTCAGTTAGAAAAACTCTTAAATAATTTGTGGTAAAACTGAGGAATATCAGAAAATATTTTTTAGGAGAAGATTTTAACACTTACATGTCTATAGTTTTCATACTTTGGCCTTTTGTACTGAGGATTTTCCTTCCAATTCTCAGGGACTAATATAAATACAGTTTTGAAAAAGAATCTTTTTTCTGTGGCTTCAAACAGATAAGTAGAAGCTGTAGTCAACATATCGTGTCCTTAAAGACAAAAATATGTGAGGATGACAAAGTTAGAGTGAACTAAATTAGCAGGGTTGTGACAGGCATTTCCCAATTTAAGAGTGGACAGAAAAGCAACAGACTGATGACCAGGGTCTCTGCCTCATTATTGAGACTCTGCCACCTGCCAACCCTAAACCATCACTTAATCCTGCATGTTGAAAGGCTCCTTCGTCTTCTATAATCCTGCCTTAAAAGGCAAATGCTTGTGTTTGGCATTAAGATGAATTGACTAATAGGAACATGTACACTGACTTTGGAGTCATTTATGTGACTCCAATACTAATGTTAGTATCTTCTGGGTGACAGATCTTGGTTGATTTATGCAATATTCCAAAGCTCAGTTTCCTCGTCTCTTTAGTGGACTATTACTATCTATCAATATGGTTGGCATAAAGATGGAATTGGTTATAAAGTACTCTACAAATAGGCAGTCTTAAAACTGTTGATATCATTACTATTTATAAGAAATCTTACTAGAAAACAGCCTTAGTTGATGTAAGTTGAGGCGGACACTCTATAGGAATGGATCATTGAAGAGGTTTCTCATTATCCCAACCCTAGGAGAAGGAGCTGGGTTGCGAGCCTGTGTGGGTGGGAGGTGTGATGAAAAAAGTCCCATAGTAGAAGCAAAACTTTGATCAAAGAACTATTGCTCTGCCACCAGTCTGAAAATAGTATCACCTTACATTCAGAACTATGAACTCATTTACAAGGACAAATAAGAAAAATAGTCCCTCCCAGGAGAAAGCAAACTACTTGGAAAATGTATTTCAGGATATCATCCATGAAAACTTCCCCAACCTTGCTAGAGATGCCAACAGTCAAATTCCCCAACAGAGAACTTCTGCAAGACTGTACACAAGAATATCATCCCAAAGACAAAACAATCAGATTTTCCAAGGTTGAAATGAAAGAAAGAATGTTAAAGGCAGCTACGGAGGAAAGGGCAGGTCACCTACAAAGGGAACTCCATCAGGCTAACAGTGTACCTCTCAGCTGAAACCCTACAAGCCAGAAGAGACTGGGGGCTAACATGGTTTGGCTGTGTCCCCACCAAAATCTCATCTTGAATTGTAGTTCCCATAATCCCCGTGTGTTGTGGAAGGGACCAGGTGGAGGTAATTGAATCATGGCAGTGGTTTTACCCATCCTGTTCTCATGATGTAAGTTATCACGAGATCTGATGGTTTCATAAGGTGCTTCCTCCTTTGCTTTGCTCTAATACTTCTTTTTACTGCTGCCATGTAAAGGACATGTTTGCTTTCTCTTCTGCCATGAAGTTTCCTGAGGCCTCCAGCCATGCTGAACTGTGAGTCAATTAAATCTTTTTCCTTTATAAATTACCCAGTCTCAGGCATGTCTTTATTAGCAGCATAAGAATGGACTAATACAGGGGTCTTTATTCAGCATTCTTAAAATAATCTTTAACCATGAATTTCATATCCAGCCAAACTAAGCTTCCTAAGTGAAGGAGAATTATGTTCCTTTTCAGGTAAGCAAATGTCAAAGGAATTCATTACCACCAGACCTGCCTTTTAAGAGATCTTGGAAGGAACACTAAATATAGAAAGGAAAGACTGCTACCAGCTAATATTAAAACAGACTTAGACACACAGACCAGCGTCACTATAAAGCAACCACTCAGACTCGGATCCAAGATGGCCGAATAGGAACAGCTCTGGATTGCAGTTCCCAGCGAAATGCAGAGGGTGAGTAATCACTGCATTTCCAAACCAATTTTTACAGCCTAGAGACCAGGAGATTCCTGAGTGTAAAAGCGTCACAAGTCTCCAGCATAGCTGTGTCAGCTGGCGCAGCACGTCTCTGCATAAAAACTCACAAAAATCTGGGCACCTTTTCAACTGGCGACTGGAATGCCTGGGAGACAGAGTTGCCCATTCAACTGAAAAAAAAGGGAGCTAAAACAGGGAGCCAGGTGATCTGCCTCTTCCAATCCCACCCCCACAAAGATAAGCAATCTGAAAGGCTCTGGATTGAGCATTTCACAGCAAGCACAGCTGGAACTGGGATGGTCCAGCTCTTGGTGGGGGAAGGGCGTCTGCCATTACTGAGGCAGTCTGCCACTACCGAAGACGTCTGCCATTACCAAGGCAGTCCGTCATTACCAAGGCAGTCCGTCATTACTGAGGCAGTCCACCATTACTAAGGCATTCTGCGATTACAGAGACAGTCTGCCATTACTGAGGCAGACTGCCATTACCAAGGCGATTATAATTATACCCCTATAAACAAAAATGCAAGGAAGTTCACACAGCAGCTGGGCAGAGCCCACGGCAGCTCAGCAACGCCTCTGCTGGCAGACTGTGACCAGGCTACCTCCTCGCTGGGCAGGGCATCTCTGAAAAAAGCAGCACAACAGGAGCTTATAAATAAAGCCCCACCTTCCCAGGACAGAGCACCTGGGAAGAAAAGGCAGCTATGACTTCTACTGCAGCAGACTTAAACATACCTGCCCAGCAGCTCTGAACAGAACAATGGAGCTCACAGCTCAGCACTTGAGGTCCTATAAGAGACAAACTGTCTCCTCAAGTAGCTACCCGACCCCTGTATATCCAAAAAGGCACCTGATAAAGGAGAGCTAAGGCTGACACCTGGCAGGTATCCTTCCGGGACAAAGATAGCAGAAGAAACTGGCAGCAACCCTTACTGTTCTGCAGCCGCTGCAGGTGATCCCCAGGCAATCAGGGTCTGGAGTGAACCTCCAGCAGTCATATAGCAGAGGGGCCTGACTATTAGAAGGAAAACAAAGAAACAGAAAGAAATAACTTCATCATCAACAAACAGGACATCCACTCAGAGACCCCATCTGAAAGTCACTAACTACAAAAAGCCACAGAGGTGGGAAGAAACCAGCAAAAAAAGGATGAAAACACCCAAAACCAGAATACCTCTCCTCCTCCAAGGGATCACAACTCCTCACCAGCAAGGGAACAAAGTGGGATGGAGAATGAGTCTGAAGAATTGACAGAAACAGGCTTCAGAAGGTGAGTAATGACAAACTTCTCTGAGCTAAAAGAACATGTTCTAACCCAACGCAAACAAACTAAGAACTTGAAAAAAGGTTTGACGAAATGCTAACAAGAATAAACAGCTTATGGAGAAATATAAATGAATTGATGGAACTGAAAAACACAACACAAGAACTTCACGAAGCATAGACAAGTTTCAATACACTTCACGAAGCATACACTGCTTCCGAAACTATTCTAAACAATCCAAAAAGAGAGTATCCTTCCCAAATCATTTTATGAGACCAACATCATCTTGATACCAAAACCTGGCAGAGACTCAACAAGAAAAGAAAACTTCAGGCCAATATCCATGATGAACATAGATGCAAAAATCTTCAATAAAATGCTGGCAAACCAACTGCAACAGTACATCAAAAAGCTTATCATCACAACCAAGTAGGCTTCACCCCGGGGATGCAAGGCTGGTTCAACTCATGCTAGTCTATAAATGTAATTCACTGCATGCACAGAAGCAAAGACAAAAACCAGATGATTATCTCAATAGATGCAGAGAAGGCCTCTGACAAAATTCAACAGCGCTTTATGCTAAAAACTCTCAATAAACACGGTATCGACGGGACATATCTCAATGTTTATGAAAAACCCACAGCCAATATCATACTGAATGGGCAAAAACTGGAAGCATTCCCTTTGAAAACTGGCACTAGACAAGGATGCCCTCTCTCACCACTCTTTTTCAATATAGTATTGGAGGTTCTAGCCAGAGAAATCAGGCAAGAGAAAGAAATAAAGTGTATTCACTTAGGAAAGGAGGAATTCAAATTATCTCTATTTGCAGATAACATAATTGTAAATTTAGAAGATCCCACTATCTCAGCCCAAAATCTCCTGAAACTGATAAGTAACTTCAGCAAAGTCTCAGGATACAAAATCAATGTGCAAAAATCACAAGCATTCCTATACACCAATAACACACTTAAAGAGAGCCAAATCAAGAACGAACTGCCATTCACAATTACTACAAAGAGAATAAAATACCTAGAAACACAACTAACAAAAGATGTAAAGGACCTCTTCAAGAAGAACTACAAACCACTGCTCAACAAAATAAGAGAGGACACAAACAGATGGAAAAACATTCCATGCTCATGGTTAGGAAGAACTAATATCATGAAAAGAGCCATACAACTCAAAACTAATTTATAGATTAAATGCTATCCCCATCAAGCTACCAATGAACTTCTTCACAGAACTGGAAGAAAAGATACCTTAAACTTCATAAGGAAGCAAGAGAGAGCCCACATAGCCAAGACAATTCTAAGCAAAAAGAACAAAGCTGGAGGCATCATGCTACCTGACTTCAAACTATACTATAAAGCTACAGTAATCAAAACAGCATGGTATTGGTACCAAAACAGAGGTATAGACCAGTGTAACAGAACAGAGGCCTTAGAGGTGATGCCACGCATTTACAACCATCTGATCTTTGACACACCTGACAAAAACAAGCAATGGGGAAAGGATTCCCTGTTTAATAAATGGTGTTGGCAAAACTGGCTAGCCATGTGCAGTAAGCAGAAACTGGATCTCTTCCTGATACCTTACACTAAAATTAACTGGATGGATTAAAGACTTACATAAGACCTAACACCATAAAAACCCTAGAAGAAAACCTAGGCAAAACCAATCAGGACATAGGCATAGGCAAGGACTTCATGACTAAAACACCAAAAGCATTGACAAGAGCCAAAATAGACAAATGGGACCTAATTAAACTCCAGAGCTTCTGCACAGCAAAAGAAACAATCATTAGAGGAACTGGCAACCAAAAGAATGGGAAAAAATTTTGCAATCTACTCATCTAACAAAGGACTTATATTCAGAATCTATAAAGAACTGAAACAGATTTATAAGAAAAAAAAACAAACCCATTCAAAAGTGGGCAAAAGATATGAACACTTTTCAAAAGAAGACAAATATGAGGAAAACAAACATATGAAAAAATGCTCATCATCAATGGTCATTAGAGAAATGCAAGTCAAAACTACACTGAGATACCATCTCACACCAGTTATAATGGAGATCAATAAAAAATCTGGAGACAACAGATGCTGGAGAGGATGTGGAAAAATAGGAACACTTTTACATTGTTGGTGGGAGTGTAAATTAGTTCAACATTGTGGAAGACAGTGTGGCGATTCCTCAAGGACCTAGAAACAGAAATTCCATTTGACCCAGCAATCCCATTACTGGGTATATATCCAAAGGATTATAAATCGTTCTATTATAAGGACACATCCACATGACTGTTCATTGCAGCACTGTTTACAATAGCAAAGACCTGGAACCAGCCCCAATGTCCACTGATGATAGACTGGACAGGGAAAATGTGGCACATATACACCATGGGATACTATGCAGCCATAAAAAAACGATGAGTTCGTGTCCTTTGTAGGGATATGGATGAACCTGGAAACCATCATTCTCAGCAAACTGACACAAGAACAGAAAATCAAACACCACATGTTCTCACTCATAAGTGGATGTTGAACAATGAGAACACATGGACACAGGGAGGGGAGCATCACACACTGAGGTCTGTTGTGGGGGACTAACGGAGGGACAGCAGGGGGTAGGTGGTTGGGGAGGGATAACATGGGGAGAAATGCCAGATATAGGTGATAAGGATGAAGGCAGCAAACCAGATTGCCATGTATGTACCTATGCAACAATCCTATATATTTTTCACATGTACCCCAGAACCTAAAGTGCAATATAGATATATATATATGTATATATATATGTAAATATATATATATATAAAATACTTTCAAGAAATATGACAAATTGGAAAGTTTTATAGATTTTTCCAATTACCTTACTCATGTAGTACCTAAGTGAAAATTTTAGCATCAGGTTAACAAACTATATTCTATCTACTTTACTAAAGTAATGCCATTGCACTCCAGCCTGGGCAACAAGAGCAAAACTATGTCTCAAACACACACACACACACACACACATACACACACACACCCCCCCCCCCCCAAATCTCAGATATGGTATAAGTTTATCCATAAACATTTCAGTATGTATCTCTAACAATTACGGACACTATAAAGAGTCACAGTAAAAGAGCCTGTTTCTCCTAAATTTTTCGCTCAGTAAATGGCTCAAGCCAAAACCTTGGAGTCATCCTTGACTCATCTTTCTCTCATACCTTAGAGCTAGTCCGACAGCCAATACCGGATAATTCTGAACCTTCCCTGCTACCTGATTACCCAGTGTAATCTAAGTCACAATCGCCTTTTACCTGTACTATGTCCACTAGAAAGACTTGCCCTGACCATCCTATCTATACGACATGATAAAAACCACCATCCCTGTCTTTATTCTATGCTTCTGGCCATGTTTTTTAAATTTTTTTTATTTTTTTATCATCACCTGATATATTTACAAACTTAACTTCTGCTACAATGTAAGCTCCAGGAGGCAGACACTTTGTTGATTTTATTCATTGCTGTATCACCAGTGTCCTCAATAGTCATAAGCAGAAATGCAATAGGCACTTAAATATTTGACTGAAAAGAAAATTATTTGATAGCTAACAGATTAGCTTAAATTTTAAAACTTTTTTCCTAAAGAATTTGAAAGAAAGAATTAAAATTCTTTGGGAAGTACACCTTTTGAGAACTTTGCTAGATTTAATTTTTTAAATCGAGTCTATCCACAATTTAAATCAGACTAAATTCTAGTATACGTGTCCTCTTTAAGGAGTGTGAGTTCTATGTCTGAAACATATCTAATTGTATTTAAAAGAGTGGCATTATATAGTGTCAAATCTTCATTACGCATCTACAATTATATAGGTAATGAGCACCAGAACAAACAAAAATATCCAAGGCTCTAGTCCTCTACTGCAGTCAACGTGAAAGGCATAGAGATGCCTCACACACCAAAATTCATTTCAGACCCTCAGTCGCTCATTCTTCTTGCACGTTGTCTTTCACTATTAGAAGCCGATGGATTTAAATCAAAACACCATTTTAACTATTTAACTATAAAGGTTCAATGTCTTTACAACACATCATATCTTAGGGAAGGAAGGGAAGAAAAGGGTTAAGGCAGCTAGCTTATTACTCACCATGCAGATTTTAGAACTCAGAAATCAAAAGCTAGAAGGAATTTCCCATTTCTAACTAAAGTGTTACTTGCTGTTCATATGGAAATGATCAGATTGTACCAGATGATTTTTAAGGTTTCTCTAGGCCATAACATTCTATTATTCTAGCTATCTTAAATCTGGAATGCTTATCCAGGAAGAAAAGCAGCACCTGGTCAGACAGCACCTGGTTATTTACTAGCTGTGCAAGTTTCGTAACCTCTGTAAGGCTGCTTCCTCATATGCATAAAAGGGGTTAATAACATCTGTCTGGCAAAGTTAAGGAAAAGACTGGAGATGATATGTCAAATGCATTGCAAAGTGCTTGACAGGGTTTTCATAATATAAGCAGCTATTACCTTGCTCTAGCTCTACCATTTTTTTGCCAGGGATAGTACAATGTAGGATCAACTGTGCCAACAAAATTGGGGCAAAGACAAGGAAAGAAGTGAAGCAACAGAACAGATTTACATTTCAGCGCCCATTTGGTATGCATATTAGAAAATTATTTTTGTTTTCTTTTTACAAAAGAGAATGTTGTTGCTACCGTGACTACGCCATTAACTTAAACACCAGATTGTTTATAAGTCATCTTGTGAAATTTACATCTGTTACATCTGTTCACAGATTTCCTGAGTTGGCATAATGTGGGTGATGACTGCTGGAAATGGTCCAAGTTCCTCAGTACCGACACTTCCTTGATTGCAGAATTCAAGAGGTAGTCAACTCTCCCCCTAAAGCATACGTGAAACATGCTACTGTGACTGCAGTCCTAACAGCATCAACCTCCCCGCATCTCTCCTTGATCTACAGCCGGTGCTTCCCATTTTGAAAAAGAGTGAGAATCCCCCAACCCTAGCTTTCCCGTGGCCTCGGCGAAGTCTGAACGCCAACTGGCGATCCCCATTTCCCCCGCGGCGGCCAAGCCTAGGACAGTCCTTTCAGGGAGAAACAGGGCTGGAAGGAACTGTGTTGGCAGCTCTCTGGGTTGAGGGGCAGGAAAAGGAAACTCCCTTCTTGGACTCGGCGGGGAGGGTGAGAGACGGAAGGAAAGGGTGGGGGCAGTGCAGGAACGGCCTGTGTCTCAGTTACCCCAACCGACTCGGGAGCCTCCGCCAGCCCCGGGGTGGGGGCCACACGAGCACTGGCGTCGTGAGATCAGAAAGGCGGACGGTGCAGCCCCAGTGTCCTCCAGGGATCGGAGGAAGCTCCCAGCTCCGTCCCCACCCCGCGTCGCTTCTCGGGGAGCGGCGGTTGGGCAGGAGCCGGGCAGAAAACCGCCGCCAGGCCCGGGGGGCACCAGGCCTCCGGCCGCAGCAGGCCCGCTGAGTGGTCGGCGAGGCCCCGGGGCGCCGCGTCCGGCTGGGGTCCCCTCCCTCGGCCTCCCCGGGCGCCGCCGCCCCTTCTCCCCCCAGCTCCAGGGTACCTGCACGGCGCGGCTCAGGAAGGTGCCGGCGTCGGCCGCCAGCTTCTTCACGTTGAAGTCCATGATGTTCATCCTGGGCGGCAGCCGGGCGGAGCCGGCTGACCTAGCCGCGAGGCGGAGGCGCCGCGGCCGGGCTGGGGCTCCGGGCTAGAGCGGCGAGGGCAGACGTGGTAGGTGGAGGGAGGCGGCGCCAGCCCCGCCGCCGCAGCTGTCGTTTCCGTGAGGGGGGAGGAGGAAGGCGGGGCCCGGGAGAAGATCTAGCGCCCGCGGCGGCGGCCTCAAGGCTGGCTCTGTCGATCGGCAGTGCGGCTGCTAACGTCTGCCCCGGGCCCGCGGGGGAGCCGGAGACGGACGGGCGACCCCACTGTGCGGAGCCGGGTCCCAACGGGGAAATCGAGAGCAGGCCGCGGGGCGGATGCCTGTCTCGAGATTATCGCGGGAACAGCGCCCCCTTGAGGATTGCGGCGGCCCGGCCCCGGGGCGCGCCGGGAGCTCCGCCCGCCTTCTGTGGAGGAAGCCGCCAGGGCGAGCCGCAGGGTGTCCGCACCGCTGTAAGGTTGTACTTAACCTCTGAGAACCCAGAGCAAACAGGACGCACATTTCCCTTGTTAAGAGTAAACATGGGAGTTACAGCATGGAATTACAATATGTGTGACATTAGAACCCACAGGCCCCGGTCACAGTACGGCGCCGCGCGACACGCTGGTCCCTGAGGCCTGGATGCCGGTCAGCGAACGTTTGCAGAATAGGGTTGGATTTCCTGTCCCCCACCGAGCTGGTTGCTCATTCATTCAGCGTAATTGAATACCTACTGTGTGCCAGACACTGAATCAAGTGCCGGAGACAGCACGCTGAGTAAGACAATGTCCTGCCCTCCAGCTCCGGGCCGGTTACTTGACAACCTTCGGGGACCTTAACACTAGGTGCCTACTGTGTGGAAGCGACGTGCCATGCGGAGGACACAAAGACGGCGAGCGGCACAGGGTAGCCCTTAACAATTCAGCGAGACTGATTTTAATAACGAGTGAGGTATGATGTGACATCCCGCTCCAAATCCTGTCATTCCAAGTAACTTCTTAAGCAGCCTTCGCGATACAGCCTCTGCTCGAAAGGAATTAAAACAGGTACACGCATGGAAGATGTTGCTTTCGCATTTTAAGAATAAGAAAATGCTCTCTCTCTGTTTTGTGTGGTTGGGCAGCAGGCAATGAAATGAGCTCACATTCAGGCTTCCGTGTTTTACTGAAACAGCAGTCACAGATCCAATAGATGGTAAAGGTTGAAAGACCAGGGCAGGGCAAGCATTTAAACACAAGAAGAAAACACGTAAATAGTTGTGTTGTTTCATTCTTTGTTGTGGTGACAGAAAGAGGCCCCTCTTTCTTTCTTTTTTTTATTTTTTATTTTTTATTTTTTATTTTTTTTATTGCATTTTAGGTTTTGGGGTACATGTGAAGAACATGCAAGATTGTTGCATAGGTACACACATGGCAGTGTGGTTTGCTGCCTTCCGTCCCCTCACCTGTATCTGTCATTTCTCCCCATGCTATCTCTTCACACCTCCCCACCCCCCGCCCCTCCCCCATTTCCCGCCAATGGACCCCAGTGTGTAGTGCTCCCCTCCCTGTGTCCATGTGTTCTCATTGTTCAACACCCACCTATGAGTGAGAACATGCGGTGTTTGATTTTCTGCTCTTGTGTCAGTTTGCTGAGAATGATGGTTTCCAGGTTCATCCATGTCCCTACAAAGGACACGTGAACTCATCGTTTTTTTATGGCTGCATAATATTCCCATGGTGTATATGTGCCACATTTTCCCTATTCAGTCTATCATCAGTTGGACATTTGGGCTTGGTTCCAGGTCTTTGCTATTGTAAACAGTGCTGCAATGAACATTCAGTGTGCATGTGTCCTTATAAGTAGAATGATTTATAATCCTTTGGATATATACCCAGTAATGGGATTGCTGGGTCAAATGGGATTTCTATTTTTAGGTCCTTGAGGAATCGCCACACTGTCTTCCACGATGGTTGAATTAATTTACATTCCCACCAACAGTGTAAAAGTGTTCCTGTTTCTCCACATCCTCTCCAGCATCTGTTGTTTCCAGATTTTTTAATGATTGCCATTCTAACTGGTGTGAGATGGTATCTCATTGTGGTTTTGATTTGCATTTCTCTAATGACCAGTGATGATGAGCATTTTTTCATATGTTTATTGGCCTCCTGTATGTCTTCTTTTGTAAAGTATCTGTTCATATCCTTCACCTATTTTTGAATGGGCTTGTTTGTTTTTTTCTTGTAGATCTGTTTTAGTTCTTTGTAAATTCTGGATATCAGCCCCTTGTCAGATGGGTAGACTGCAAAAATTTTTTCCCATTCTCTTGGTTGCCGATTCACTCTACTGACTGTTTCTTTTGCCGTGCAGAAGCTGTGGAGTTTGATTAGGTCCCATTTGTCTATTTTGGCTTTTGTTGCCATTGCTTTTGGAGTTTTGGTCATGAAGTCCTTGCCTACGCCTATGTCCTGAATGGTTTTGCCTAGATTTTCTAATAGGGTTTTTATAGTGTTAGGTCTGATGTTTAAGTCTTTAATCCATCTGGAGTTAATTTTGGTGTAAGGTGTCAGGAAGGGGTCCTGTTTCTGCTTTCTGCACATGGCTAGCCAGTTTTCCCAACACCATTTATTAAACAGGGAATCATTTCCTCATTGCTTGTTTTTGTCAGGTTTGTCAAAGATCAGATGGTTGTGGGTATGTTGTATTTCCTCTGAGGCCTCGGTTCTGTTCCATGCTGTTTTGATTACTGTAGCCTTGTAGTATAGTTTGAAGTCCAGTAGTGTGATGCCTCCTGCTTTGTTCTTTTTGCTTAGAATTGACTTGGCTATGCGGGCTCTCTTTTGGTTCCATATGAAGTTTAAGGTGTTTTTTTCCAGTTCTGTGAAGAAGGTCCTTGGTGGCTTGATGGGAATAGCGTTGAATCTGTAAATTACTTTGGGCATTATGGCCATTTTCACGATGTTGATTCTTCCTAACCATGAACATGGAATGTTTCTCCATCTGTTTGTGTCCTCTCTTATTTCGTTGAGCAATGGCTTGTAGTTCTCCTTGAAGAGGTCCTTTACGTTCCTTGTTAGTTGTATTCCTAGGTATTCTCTTTGTAGCAATTGTGAATGGCAGTTCGTTCTTGATTTGGCTCTCTTTAGGTCTGTTACTGGTGTATAGGAATGCTTGTGATTTTTGCACAGTTGATTTTGTATCCTGAGACTTTGCTGAAGTTGTTTATCAGTTTCAGGAGATTTTGGGCTGAGATGATGGGGTCTTCCAGATATACAATCATGTCATCTGCAAATAGAGACAATTTGATTTCCTCCTTTCTAATTTGGATACTCTTTATTTCTTTTTCTTGCCTGATTGCTCTGGCTAGAACTTCCAGTACTATATTGAATAGGAGTGGTGAGAGAGGTCATCCTTGTCTAGTGCCAGATTTTAAAGGGAATGCTTCCAGTTTTTGCCCATTCAGTATGATATTGGCTGTTGGTTTGTCGTAAATAGCTTTTATTGTTTTGAGATACGTTCCGTCAATACCTAGTTTATTGATAGTCTTTAGCATAAAGGGCTGTTGAATTTTGTCAAAAGCCTTCTCTGCATCAGTTGAGATAATCATGTGGTTTTTGTCTTTGGTTCTGTTTATGTGGTGAATTACGTTTATGGACTTGCGTATGTTGAACGAGACTTGTATCCCCGGGATGAATCCTACTTGATCATGGTGGATGAGCTTTTTGATATGCTGCTACAATCAGTTTGCCAGTATTTTATTGAAGATTTTTGCATCTATGTTCATCATGGATATTGGCCTGAAATTTTCTTTTCTTGTTGAGTCTCTGCCGGGTTTTGGTATCAGGATGATGTTTGTCTCATAAAATGATTTGGGAAGGATTCCCTCTTTTTGGATTGTCTGGAATAGTTTCAGAAGGAATGGTACCAGCTCCTCTTTGTATGTCTGGTAGAATTCGGCTCTGAACTCATCTGGACCTGTGCTTTTTTTGGGTGGTAGGCTCTTTATTGCTGCCTCGACTTCAGACCTTGTTATTGGTCTATTCAGGGTTTCGGCTTCTTCTGGGTTTAGGCTTGGGAGGATGCAGGTGTCCAGGAATTTATCCATTTCTTCCAGGTTTACTAGTTTATGTGCATAGAGTTGGTAATAATCTCTGATGATGGTTTGGATTTCTGTGGAATCTGTGGTGATATCCCCTTTATCGTTTTTTATTGCATCAATTTGGTTATTCTCTCTTTTCTTTTTTATTAATCTGGCTAGTGTTCTGTCTATTTTGTTGATCTTTTCGTAAAACCAGCTCCTGGATTTATTTATTTTTTTGAAGAGTTTTTTGTGTATCTATTTCCTTCAGTTCTGCTCTGATCTTAGTTATTTCCTGTCTTCTGCTAGGTTTTGAGTTTTTTTTTTTTTTTTATCTTGCTCCTCTAGCTCTTTCAATTTTGATGATAGGGTGTCAATTTTAAATCTCTCCTTTCTTCTCCTGTGGGCACTCATTGCTACATATTTTCCTCTAGAGACTGCTTTAAATGTGTCCCCGAGATTCTGGTATGTTGTGTCTTCGTTCTCATTGGTTTCAAAGAACATCTTTATTTCTGCCTTCATTTCATTGTTTATCCAGTCAACATTCAAGAGCAAGTTGTTCAGTTTCCGTGAAGCTGTGTGGTTCTGAGTTAGTTTCTGCATTCTGAGTTCTAACTCGATTGCACTGTGGTCTGAGAGACCGTTTGTTATGATTTCTGTTCTTTTGCATTTGCTGAGGAGTGGTTTATTGCCAATTATGTGGTCAATTTTAGAGTAGGTGTGATGTGGTGCTGAGAAGAATGTATATTCTGTGGATTTGGGGTGGAGAGTTCTGTAAATGTCTATTAGGTTTGCTTGTTCCAGGTCTGAGTTCAGGTCCTGGATATCCTTGTTGATTTTCTGTCTGGTTGATCTGTCTAATACTGACAATGGGGTCTCCCACTATTATTGTGTGGGAGTCTAAGTCTCTTTGTAAGTCATTAAGAACTTGCCTTATGTATCTGGGTGCTCCTGTATTGGATGCGTATATATTTAGGATCATTAGCTCTTCTTGTTGCAGTGATCCTTTTACCATTATGTAATGTTCTTCTTTGTCTCTTCTGATCTTTGTTGCTTTAAAGTCTATTTTATCAGAGATGAGAATTGCAACTCCTGCTTTTTTTTTTTTTGCTCTCCATTTGCTTGGTAGATCTTCCTCCATCCCTTTATTTTGAGCCTTTGTGTATCCTTGCATGTAAGATGGGTTTCCTGGATACAGCACACTGATGGGTTTTGGCTTTTTATCCAGTTTGCCAGTCTGTGTCTTTTGATTGCGGCATTTAGTCCAT